GGCGGAATCCGGCTGCGCCGTGAGGGGGTGGTCCACCTCCCTCCCCAAGGGCATCTTCAGGATTGAGCACGGTTTCTGAAGATGTGGGAGGCCAAGGGCCGCGCAGTCAGTCCAGTAAAGAGAATGCGCGGCACGGGAGCGGGACAAGCATAAACCCCAGGCGAAGGGCAGTAAATCCAGATACTCGCATTTACGTTCCGTACTGTTCAGCGCTGGTGGGGCTGCTGGTGAGACGCCGTGGAGGGAAGACGTGGCCACCGGAGCCACTCTTCTCAGAGCAGTTCGGCTTATTGGCCGCTTGTTTGTAGGAAACAATTCTCCACACAAGGTCACGCCTCCATATGGTCATCGGGGTATTATTTGAAATAGCAAACGGAGAATATGAGAAATGAGTGAAAATGCAGGGGGTTTTGAATTGACAATGAATTGAATGTTATGACCTCATCCAAATGTTTTCCAAAGGATTATAGTAATGCTTTTAAAAAATGCTGGAAAGGGGCACCCAGGTGGCTCAGTCAGTTAAGTGTCTGACCTCAGGTCATGATCTCTTGGTTTGTGAGTTCAAGCCCTGTGTCGGGCTCTTGTGCTGACAGGTAAGAGCCTGGAGCCTGCTTCAGATTCTGTTTCCCTCTCTGTCTGCCCGTCCTCCACTCATGCTCTTTCTCTGTCTCTTTCTCTCTCTGTCTCTCTGTCTCTCTCTCAAAATGAATAAACATTTTAAAATAATTTAATGCTTAAAAAGGGAAAATAGTATACAAATTTATAAGTACGTTGAACCTCATACAATCGACTCTGTTAAAGTTTGGTTAAACCAATCTGGCTGTATTCTAAGATAAAAATATTTATTATTGAGATTTTAAAATCTAGTTTTAGAAAGACTGGAAAGAAATGTATCTCAATGAAAATATTGATCCCTTAGGATAGGATCTGCGGTGACTTAGAGTTTGTTGTTTTTTTTTGCAAATTTCCTTCTCATGCCCACATGACTTATGCAGCAGGGCTGTGGTATTAGCCGTGTCCTGTAGGCTCAGGCTGATCGCAAACACCCAGTTCGCTGTAATTAGCACTTACTGCGGGGTCTGAGGAGTGGCCACAGGAACGTGAGGCCGCTCCTGTGGACCCAGCTCAAGGAGCAGACACTGCAGCGTCCAGGCCTGGGATCCACACAGGTGCCCGAGATGCGTCACTTCCAGGGCCGTGTCACCTGCATGGGTCTGCCGGTCCTGAGGGTGACCGAGCCCCCCCGGCACGCATCCTGAGACAAAGCCATCTGCATGTCTGAGTGAAGGGGCACCGGACATGGCTCATGGGGAGGGGAGTGAGGTGGCCCTTGATGCTGGGGGTGGGGAAGGCCTCCCCCGCCGCCCTGTTAGCCAGAGGACACCCAGTGCTCCTACTTTACAGCCACCTTCTACGACAGCATCCCAGTGGACGCCCGTCTTAGTGCAGGAGAGACCGGGATGGCCCGTGGGCATGGGTGTGAGGTCTGTGAGTTCCTCCTCCTCACAGACTCGGGTCCAAACTCTACAGGGTTCAGCTGCAGAGTCAGTCACAATGCCAGCCAGCCTCCCCGAAGCCACACACTGCTGGGAAGCTGGCCACCCACAGAGGGACCCCAGAGGGCACGGCAGGTGTGGGCCATGGAGTCCCTGAGGCAGTGTCCAGGGATCTCCAAAGGTCTTTCCTTCCTGGCCCTGAGAAAGCCAGGTCTACTTCCAAGGGATACTTTGTAGGAGGAAGATGTTCTCAATAAAATGATTCTAATAATCTGCTATTCAATGAGACCTGCCCCTTCATAGGCTGAAGGTTTTTTTTTTTTTTTTAAGGCTCTATTGTGGTTTGTATAGTAAAAGGAAATAAAAATAAAACCTTCCTTGAGCCGTCAGATACATAAGACAAAACCACAAAGCCACGGGCCCTTCCCCACCCTGTGATCCCCACGGAAAAACCCCACACAAGCCCTCTGAAACTGCGGGAAACCTATGGGACCTGACTCCATCGTTCCATAAGTGCATGAATTTCTGGACTGCAACTTTGTACAAATGCAATAAAAAATCTTATTAATCACTCAGTCCATGAAAAAAGTGACCTTTCTCTGCCTCATTTTTAAGCAACAAGAAATCTTATGGGCTTGGCTATCAAACCCTCTTGAGCAAGAGTAACGTATGAGATCTGCCGGCGTGTTTTATAAAGTCAGAGAGTTCTGAATGGCAGCATTGCTTTATGACCCAGCAGTAAATTCAGATTGATCTTCTATATTCATGACCTGTGTGTGGGCTTCTTGTGAAATCCCGCTAAGAATTCAGGCCTCACCCCAGACTCTTTTTCCAGGGGAAACTCAGAGCTCTGGGTGCGTGCTTTGAGGTTCTGTGCTGTTTTGCTGATTCTCATCCACCCAGTCTACATAAGGTTCTCACACGGAAGAATCTACGCATCAAGGTTGAAAGGAATCACCCACCTCAATGAGGCATGAACAGAGTGAAAATTTCATACAACTGCTCAACCACGGCCATTGGGGTAAATTCAAGACACCGTCTAGCCCCGGCCGCCAGCAGGCTCTGGAAGGACAGGTGGGTGTCGCAGGCAGGCCTGAGCTCCCATTGGGTTAGTCTGGTGCTATGCTGGTGAGGCTGGGCTGGTCGGTTTCCCAAACAAAGAGATGGGAAATGCAGACAAGACAAAATAAATGCCCGCTTCCATTTCTCAAAGGCTCCTAATGCTGTCACGTCTCCGGGAAGAGGGTCACGTCTCCTGCTGGCTGGTTCAACTGGAACAGACCAGCCAGGTTGATCCGGACACTCGGAATCCCATGTATTTCTGCACGTGACAAAGGCGTGTCTATCCACGCCCAACAAGAATCGAGACAAACCTCAAGACTGTCCGTGCCATTGGGTCCGCAGAGCAGACGAAGCTCATTCTGGCGATTCTGTGGGGGAGGAATGTGCTTTGCGCCTTCTCCCGAGGGATGCCGTGGACCTGCACCCTGCAGATGCCTGGCGGCCTTGTGCGTGGAAAGAAGAGAACAGGGAACGGTAGGTGCTTCGGGAGATGAGCCCCTCATCACGGGCTCGGGGGGCCGACTTTGGGACAGTGCACACACCGTCGGGGGGCACGTGCGGCGGCACCAGAGCCCAGTCCCAGATGGCATCCACGTGGTCACTGGGAGGTCGTCAAGGGTCTGCTGCACGCCAGGCCCTGGGGACCCAGGGAGCATCAGGCAGCCCCGACTCTGCAGGAGCTGAGGCCTCTCACAGCAGCCCGGACGATGTGGAGGGGACGCAGGGCAGCCAGATGGCATTCTGTGTTCGCCTGGGGAGGGGCAGCAGACAGGGGACCCGAAGCGAGGGTGGAAGGAGGGCAGGGCAGGGTGGTGGCCAGCAGTGACACTGGAGCATCCAGGGCCATGAGGCAGCCGGACTGTCACAAAGCACACAGCCCCACGGGTGGCAGTGATGGCGTCTGAATGCAGTCAGCACCCTGTTGGCAGCATCCAGGGCGCCGGGAGGGAGGGGAAGCAGACCCATGTCTCCAGCGGGCCTGGCTGAGCAGAGCACAGGATGGGGCTGAGAGCAGAGGAGGCCACAGGGGGGGCTGCGCTGGCTCCCGGTCAGCGGCCGTCTCCCGTTGGTGACAGTCAGCCACCTGGACGGGAGTCAGGATGCCCACCGTCCCCGGGCCATCACACGCGGCAGGATTTATTTTCCAAATCGTCTCTACGTCTTCAAAATAATTTTGCGTGGGGACGAAGGAACTGATGTCCTTTTGAAAACAGAATGTGTAGCCTAACACATGCAGGTTTGAAAGTCATGTCTTTGAAGGGAAAGCATTGTCATCCGTGCACCAGGCCGTCCCTCATGGTCCTGTGCTCCTGGCCTCCACCGTGTCACCAGGCGTATGTGCTAATTTCGGCTTCACCCACCTCACTGCTGTCTTGACTTCATGAGGCTACTCTACCTTCCAAGCCTTCAAGGCCAAGGGCTATCTTTCATTTGTAAGTGAATAACAAGGTAGATAAAGTGACGCATACGTCAAACCCAAGGTGCAGAGGAAGAGGTCCCCACTCAGGAGGCCTCCTTCCTACCTGAAACACTTCAGAGCTGAGACATCCCACTTTCCTTGCACCCCAGGGCCTCCTGCCAGCCTGACTTTGGGCAACCCTGCTCGACCTCCCCCTCTGGGGGGAGGTGGGGTCTCCTGACACCTGGGCCCTGCCCGCTGCACCTGCCGCTGGGAGGGGCCGGCCCAGGAGGCAGCCTGGGGGCAGCTGCGGACCTCAGAGGGAATTTGCTCCCTCTGCAAGGCCTCCCAAGGCCACCAGAATGTTCATTATCATCGCCGCCACCCAGAGGCTCCCAGTCCTGCGTCCAGCCTGTTTGTGGAGACGTCCAACCCGGCCATTAGAGCTGACTCATTTTATACCCGAGAGCCAACGCTGGAATAAGTCATGGGAAGGAGATTTGGTTCCAAAATGTTTCTCCCTTGAATGCAGAATGAGGTTCAGAAGTCAACTATAATTAAGACATCCTATTTTTACCACGAATAGTGAACTGACACATAAGTATGTAAGTCCCGGCTTGTCGAAGGTACGTACAGGGGACACCCCTCTGGGGGCGAGGACCCCGAAACCTGGCCGGGCTCCCGCAGGAAGCTATCGGCACAGGTGCTGACTGCGCGCCAGGCCAGTGGCCGCCCCCTGCCCGCCTCTCAGGGACCAGCACGAGCAGGTGGGGGGCCGGGCCACAGCACCGCGGCCCCCCCGGCGAGACGCTCCTGTCTGTGTTCCTCCAGCCTCAGGTCGTTTGGCACCTGGATTTCACTCAACCTGATTCCACGAGCTCGGTGAGGAAGGAAAGTGTCCCTTGGGCTACGGGGACGATTACTCCGGCGACTGGCTTCCCAGGGGAGCCGTGACCTGCATTCGGGTCCTCACCCCTCCCTCCGTGGGCACGTCCGGGCCCCACTCCTCCCCCCAGGAACAAGTCTCCGAAGCCAGCCCTCACCCCTCGCTCCAGAAGCATGTCTCGGAAGTGGGTCACCCGCTCCTCCAGGGGCAGCAGGATCTGGGGTGCTGTTCCGGGGCCCTTGTCCACTCCTTCTGCCTCCTCTGGCCTCGGACTCGCGCGGCCTTCTGTCCTTTAGGGCACAAGAACAGACAGTTAGACGTGCCCTCGGAGACCCGCCTGCAGCCTCTAAAAGTCCTCCGGGGACGCTATGGGGCAAACACTTGAGAACCCTTCAAAGCCTGGGGCAGCAGCCCTGGGACGCAGGCTGCTCTGTTGCGCGTGGGGCGGAGCTGAGACGGGGACCCTGGCCCAGGGGCATCGGCAGGGGGTGAAGGCAGCGGTGCGTTCCTCGTGCGGGCCCGCAGGGCGGGGGGAGCCCGGAGTCCCCGTCTCACGCCCGGACCCGCTGTCAGTGGCGGTGAAGGGGGAGCCCTTCCATCTGCGCAAACCATGGGGCTCACGCCATCTGCTCCTGTTTGGATTTGTTTCGTTCAGGGAAGGCCTCGTTTTGGACAAATGCAGGAAGGCAGTGACCAGGGACCACTCCAGCAGCACTCTGGGTGCAGAGGACACTGTCCTGGGGCCTGACCCGACCGGGAGATTTCAGTGACAAAGGGGGAACTGGACCCCCACCCCAGGCCATCGGCGCAGAGATTGGTGCAGAGTGGGCCCCCCACCCCCACGCCCTGGAGCCGTTCCCTCTCCCGGCCCAGGGTGGGGGCTGCAGCCACGGCCCAGACAAAGTAGGCGGCGTTGGGAGCAGGTGCGAGCCAGGGCCCGGGGGGCCCCAGCGGATCCAACAAGCCACCTTCCCCAGGCTGGCGGCTGGGAGGAAGGAAAGAGCTCGCTCTTACCAAGCACAACCTGGCACCTGCCTTCTCTTACGTACCCGCTGCTCAATAGCAGTCTCGGGTCCACACCTCATTCTAGCAGCATTTAGGAGTCTCACTCCCAAACACCTGGGCATGTGCTGCTGGAAGATGCTCGGGGAACATCAGACATGGGTTCTCTCCTGATGCCCCTCCCTGTCCCCCACCTGGCCGCCCTGGGAGCAAGCCCACCCCCCCACCCTGACCTGGCCCCCAGGGGAGCAAGCCCCTCCCCCCACCCTGACCTGGCCCCTAGGGGAACAAGCCTGTCCAGCTGCCACCTGCCCCTCCTCACAGCCTGCGCTCAGCCCTAAGGCAGGTCCCCCCTGCCCCGGCCTAGAACCTGCTGCTGGGCCTCCTCCCGGCCCACGCTGGCCCACGCTGGCCCACACTCCCCCGCAGTCAGGGACTCCAGCGCCGACAGACCCATTGTGTCCTGAGGCCCCCAGGTTCAGAGAACCTTCACTTCTGACATGCTTTGGTGACAGTAAAGAGAAGTCCCCTGGGGGCCACCGAGCGTGGCGCCTCCCACATGCCTGCCAGCATCTGCATGGAGATGTTGGGGCAGAGAATGAGCCTGCTTCTCTGCAAGACCAGCCTCACCTAAGGATCAGTCAGTGAGTCACTCAGGCCAGACACACATAGAGGCTTCCTGACACAGGAGCAGCCCGGTGCCATGCCCAGGGTGACTGCATTCCTGGGGGACATCCGGCGGTGTCTGGAGACATGGGTGGCTGTCACCACTGTGGAGACCCTGCTGGTACAGGAGACGGAGAGGCAGACATGCTGCCAAATGCCCCGTGCTGCACAGGACAGGCGGCTGCGAGGGGCTCCCCCAAATCCCCACCTTCCGCCCACGTGGGGGGAGGGGCACAGGATGGGCGGCCACGAGGGGCTCCCCCAGAGTCCCCACCGTCCGCCCACGTGGGGGGAGGGGCAGGCCGACCGAAGGCCATACCATCACTTAGTGGCCAGGACCAAGCTGGTCCCCGCCTCCTGACGCCTGCTTTTTCCATCACTGTCTGTCCCGGGTACCGTGGAAATCCGCTAGTTCCTGCCTCCAGGATGAGCTGAGACCACACAACGCTCTACGCCTAACACTCACCAAGGTTGTGAGCTGGATTAATCCAACCTAATACAAAATGTGCAGAGAAAAAGAAAAAAAATCATTGGCTCAGCCCATTAGGGAACCTTATTTATAGATCAACTATTTCAGGAGAACTTACATTCTTTGCTGCTTATGCGATTATGTGGAATTTCAAAAAAAAAAAAAAAAAGAAAATTACCAGTGGATTTGCAATTGTATCATAATCCAAAGGGTATAATTAGGATTTCTTTGTAATAAATTTTCATTAGTTAAAAATAGAAGTGTGGAAACAAGACGCGTATTGTTGTTACTTGAAATAAGATTAATAGGAACGTTACAAGCTCAGCAATGATCACATATTACTGCTCATTCAATGCGGTATTTCGTTCCGAGCGGCTGGATGGCTTCCATATTGTGAAGCTATCGGTTCAATTAGAATTGGTCAAAAGTAATGCAAAATTGCTAAATATATTTTTAATATCCTCATGGCTGAGTGAGTTTTGTACCTTTACCAAAAAGCAAATTCTAATACTTTGCATACAACTAGCTCAAGGCCAAACCACCAAGGACGAGAGGCAGCATCCCTGAGGACACAGGAACTGGTACCCACAGGCCTGGCTGGCGGGGCCGGTGGGGGGCGGGGAAGGGCTCTCACCTGGAGGCAGGTTTTCCACATGGCAGACCCCTCGCTAGGTCGACACCCTGCCTTGGGAAATTTTCTAGGTCAAGTGCATGGGCTAAGAAGGGCTCGGTCTTGCCCAGCCTTTCCTCCAGAACTGGGGTCCCCAAGTCTGGTCCACAGTGCTGGGGTCCCTTCAGTCTGAGGGACAGCTCCCTGGCTCCCAGCCCCCATGTTTTGGGGGACATTACGGTGGCCACGAGAAGTGCTGTGCTCCCCCATTCTGCCTGTTGCCTCTGTGCTCTGGCTGCTGTGAGCTTATCCAGCTGAACTGCTAAAGGCCTGTGTGTGTGTGCACGCAAGGCGCCCACCCGGGGGGCCAAGTCTAGAGCCACAGGGTTTGCTGACCTGCGCACAGGACAGCAGATTATTTGGTAAAACCCACTAGACTCGTGCTTCGTGCAAGCAGATTCTAGACACGGCTCGTCTGGTTGCTGTTCCCTTTTGTGGAGAGGAGGGGCAGCACCGTCTGCTTAGCAGGTGCATACTGGGGACAAGTTGCTCAGTACATCGGAGGCACCGGCCCGTTGACCCCAGTGTCCATATGCCAGTGCGCCGTCATCCTGTCTCCATGCGTGGAAGCTCAGATGGGGCTGGACGCATCAAAGTCCAAGCCTTGGTTTGCACCAATGGACTGAGATCTGCACACCTCTGAGGTCTGCACACCTCAGGGTCCTAATGTGGGGCAATGACAGTGCTTGCCTCACCCAGGTGTGAGGATTCTGTGAGATAACCTGTGAACCCCTCTAAGCACCCTCTTCCCTCCTCTCCTCCCGTCCCCCCTCCCCCTTCCCTCCAAACACTATCACTAGAGAGCTGCACAGAAATAGAAGACATTCACTATTCCGCTGCTCCAATGCACCGCATGGGGGGGAGGGAGGTAAAGGTCAGCTCCACTGAGAGAGCGACCCCATGGCGCTGGGCCTGAACGAGCTCCTGGTTCCAGAAAGAAGCCTCACACAGAGGTGTAGCGGTGTGGCGTTGAGCACGCTTTTGAGCCTCCTTGGGGCCAGCTTGGTGTGAACTCTTGGGCAAGTTATGGAAGCTCTCCTGACCTTGTTCTGGTAAAAACACGTGGTTTGGACACGGCCATCTTGACACTCCTCAGGTCACCTCCATTCTGTGATGCAAATGTGGCCTTGCTCATTTAGTCCTGGGGAAATACTCAGGCATCTGGATTCTGCCACAGGCTTATTAGCTCCGCCTCCCGGCTTTACAGTCCCTATAAGTTTGATAAGAGGCCTCCCCATCTTACCCAGGTGGTCCCCAAACGTGCAGCAGAAAGTACCCAGGGCAGTGGCCTCTGTCAGGTCCACCCCTGCCCTGCCTCACGGCAACCCTGCATTCTCCCAGGTGGGTGATGGGCAGGGGGCGGCCACGTGGGGGCAGTGCCCTGGCAGCCCCTGTCTGCATGTGCCATGGCCACCACTAGGGTCCCTGGATGAGATGGCCGACGTGAAGGCCTCCGAGGTGGTGGTGGCCCCTCTCAAGGGGGCTGCTGCGTGACCTTGGTTTTATTTAAACCACCTCTCCCTCCCTCCCTGCCTTGGGCCTGCTTCCCAGGTCGAGGACAGGTTGGATGGCGTTTCTGTGTTACCACCGCCTGCAACTGGTGACCACTCAGTGCCCTCTCTGCCAAGGGCTGGCTGGCCGGGCAGGGTGCTGGCATCAGCGGTCCCCGGGGAGATGAAGACGGGGCCTGGGCTTCGTCTCTGCTTCCTTTGTGAATTTCCCAAGTGACCAAGTGTCCTCGTTAAGGAGCCCCCTCTGGCCACCCCTGAGGTCAGGCAACAGGGTGACTCAGATGGGCCCTTAGACAGGTTCAAGGGAGGGCCAGGCCCACTGGAAAGCCACCACATGACGGGAGGGCTGGACCCCTCAGGAAGGGAGGGGCTGGAGGTCGAGTTCGGTCACATGGGCAGTGATTCCATCGGTCCTGCCTGGGGTTGGGGGAGCTTCCTGTCTGGGGGGCTGGGGTCCCAGGAGGCAGACGCACCCCAAGCCCAGAGGGATAGAGGCCTGGGTGCCCGGGACCCTTCCAGAGCCCACCTTATGTACCTCTTCCATTTGCTGTCCCTGACTGCCAGGCAAGTCCCTGTGCAGCCCCAGGGCTTGCCACGAGCTCTTCCCCAGCCCGAGGCACGTGCTGGTACCGGAAGGCAGTGACTAAATTGTTGACTTAGCTTTTGTGGTTGAGTTTGTTCCTTGTGATTTCCTAGGAGACACATTAAATGCAGGAGAGCTCCACATCTCGCTTTTTAAAGAGGACAGGTGTTGTGGTCTGCAGGCGTCTTTCTTCCAGCCACAGAATGGTGCCCTTCTGAACGTTTCCTCTAGACTTTGTCTGGATGTAATTAGCACATTTTTGCAAGTCTTCTGAATGCATGGCTCTTCTCTCCGAGCAGAGTTGTCAAAGGAATTTATAAAACAATGTTGTTTTTGTAAATGTACTGTGGTTTGGTGTCCACGGCTCTCTGCCGTGGTGAATTGCTGAG